CTATATTCTTTAATATTGCTAAACTTGAAGGAAAATCATAGATTTCAGAAGTATTAAAACGAGAATTTGATTAAGTAACTTGGTTGGCTTGCCTGACAGCAGTGTCCGGCGCCACCACGACCCTTAGTGGATTTTGGGTCGTGACATTTATACAAAGAGGTACATTATGTATATAGTTGTATAAAAGTGTATAAAGATGTATAATCACAGAGTGAAAATATTCTTGATACACTATGTATATAGGTGTATAATAATAATAATAATAATAATAATAAGAAGAAGAAGAAGAAGAAGAAGAAGAAGATAAAAAAGAAGAAAATGCGAGAAATTCACCAAACACCTGTAAATAATGTATCAACCTTGTATATAATAGTGTATAAGTTGTGTTTATACACTATTATATACTATTTATACAGTATTATATATTATTATCTTATCAATGGAGCTTCACGTGTTCTTCTTCTTCCTTGGACATCCTCTGAAGTTTAACTCAAATATAGCCTAAATCTACTCCAAATCACTTGAAATTTATGTTTTGAACTCATCTTGATGATTCCAATCAATTGAGACAATACCCATTCCAAACAATTAACAAATCGAAAAACTTAATTTCTGAAATCGAATCTTCGAACCACCTGTAATGGTGACTTTTATTTTTCAAATCCTTAATTAACCATTGGAATTTGAAAAAGAATTGAAGGAGAATAACAATAGTAGAGAAATTTTGTGGTGCGAAGGCTGACTTGGGAGGAGAAGAAGAATGAAGAAAAAAGGGGAATGAAGAAGAAAGGGGAACAGAGAAATAAGGGGTGGGCTAACTGGAACGAAGAAAAAAAGGGGAGTGACAAGGGATGTAACTGGAACGAAGAAAAAAGAGGGGAACGAAGAAAAAATGGGCTAACTGGTGAAAAGTAATTTTCAGGTTACGTACAATCCGGGCTACACTGGGTAAGGGCTTCAAACATGAGCCATTTTCTGATGGGTTGTTGGGCCAAGTGACAAGGGATGTAATTTTCCCAAAAAGGGGGAAATTTTTCGGTCCTATACAATATAGGAAACTATATTACCAAATATGTTCATAGTTTACATATTACCCGTCATGCTAATAGTATTTTTACAAAATATAGACAATTCATTAAATAAGGAATCATTGTAGCTGTAAAGCTTCCTTATTTAGACTCTGTTTTTGCGATATTTCATCATTTTTTCTGATTTCACAAAATCTTCTAGAATTCTTCTGCAACAAACGCAATTATGTCCAAAGAATACTAAAAATAAATATTCAAAAAAGTTCATCCTGCTAGAAACAAAAAGATGATCACCCAGTAGTATAACATTTATTACTAGAATTATGAAGTCGGCGAAAAGCCCTTCTTCTTCTATAGCCAAAGATACCATATTTGAGCCTCAACCAAACCAATTTTCTGATTTTTCTTGCTGATTTGAGCTTTACCCTATCACCCTTTTCACTCTAAAGAAAGAATTTCTCATATTCTCAGTAACACTCCGCTTCCTGCTAAAATGATAGCTTCTCAAAAAAAGCTGCCTCTTTTCTAAGTCAGTGTACCCTGTTTCTGTTCTGAACATGTTTACTGCCCCATAAGATATCTGTTTTACAGCCATATTGTCCGTTGAAAATTGTATAAGAAGTTATCAATTTTTTGAATTCGAAGTTGGGTTTTCAAAAATTATTATTTGTTTGGATTGGGTGTTGTTGCAAATAATTGGGAATATGGTTTGGAGTTTATATCTCAATTTTGAGGGGTTTTGGTGAAAATTAGACTTGGTTTTGGCTGAATTTCAGATTGAAACTCGAAGAAGAAGAAGACATGACATACAATATATTGCAGAAATTGTAGAAAATTATATTCTGCTGTTTATTTATTTTTCTTTTATTCATTTAACTATTGTATGAAAGTTGAAGAAACAAAAACTTAGGATCATATCCGCTATGTATAATTGTTCGCGATTTCAATATGGAATTGAGTATCACCAATGAGAACGCAGTTGCATGTTTGTGCTGTTACATTTTATATCAAATTCTGGTTTTATATAAATGTCCTACACTTTATCTATATTTTATCTACAAATAAACTACATGTCAGAGTAAATATATATATATCGGTATGGATTTCCACAATATCTACAAAATTTCTACATTTATTCTACAATAAAACTACATATAATTTGAAAAATTAATATGAAAATACAGAATTTCAATATTTCTACAATTATCTAAAAATTTTCTACAAACTATTCATAACAGAATTTATCTTTATTTTCATGCATGTTCGTCTGGAACACTAAAGTTACAATATCTCCCGTTATAGAGGAATACAACTTATCTATAATTTTCTACAACTTTCATACATTATTCCACCCAGTTAAATACAGCTACAATAACATAAAATTTACATACAAACTTATTTACAACTACAATATAATACCACTTAAATAAAATATTTATACAATGTTGTTCAACTTTCATACAATAGTTAAATGAATAGAAGAAAAATAAATAAACAACAGTCTACAATTTTTCTACAATTTCTGCAATATAATGTATGCCATGTCGTTGTCTTTTTCTTCTTCTTCTTCTTCTTCTTTTCTTCTTCTTCTTCTTCTTCTTCTTCTTCGAGTTTCAATCTGAAATTCAGCCAAAACCAAGTCTAATCTTCACCAAAACACCTCAAATTTGAGAAATAAACTCCAAACCATATTCCTAATTATTTGCAACAACACCCAATCCAAACGAATAATGATTTTTGAAAGCCTAAATTCGAATTCAAAGCTTCAAAGCTTTTTAATGGCTGTCAATGATGGAATTGCTGCTCTCTTTTCCTTTCCTCTTGTATTACTGAAATTTGGGATTGAGAGATAGAGAGAGACGTAGAGAGAATTCTCAATTCTTTGCAACAACCTCCAATTCAAACAAACAATGTCTTTTGAAAACCCAAATTCGAATTCAAAGCTTCAAAACTTTTTAATGGTTGTCAATGGTGGAGGGGTTACAGATTTTTGCTGGTTTTAGAAGAGGAAATCGTGGGTGATTGAAGAGGAAATCGTGGGGATTTGGATAGAGAAACTTGGGGGAGTGGGAATATACGGTTGAGTAAAATTAGGAGACTAATTAATACCATTAAAATCCTACAATGGTACATAAATGATAATTAGGTATATAAAAGGTAGTTATATTAAAAGTTAAGCATGGAGGGTAATATAGTTTACTATATGACATAGGAATGTAAAAAGGAATTTTTACATTCTTATGCCACATAGGAAACCTTATTACCCTCAGTGTTTAAGGTTTGACTTAATTACACTTAGTATACCAAATTACCAATTCTGTACCATAGTGTATTTTAAGGGTACAATTAATGCTGCCAAACAAAATCAGTTAGAGCTTTTGGTGTTTTGCAAATTCTCGTGTTGTGCCTCACATTTCCAGTTCCTTGAGGATCCATGACGTGGCTGCTGACTAGGATAGCTGATTGTGCATCAGAAGTGTTCATAACAACTTCTCACAACTACTGGCAAGAATTAGTCAAAGGTTAGGCTAAGTAATAGCTACATCCTAAAACATTGGCAATGAATAGCTAAATCCTACCAAACAAACTAAAGATTAGGAGAATATGAGTATTCAACCCCTAATTTAATTCTCCAATTTTATGCTTGTCCCTTTCTAAAATTCAGATTCGCCCAAAAAGACCGCACACATTTAATAAAATCTTCAATCCTATAAGTTCAGACGATTTCATGGAAATAACATATATATCACCATGTATATCAATGTATATCACTAATTAATCTAACCTGCTAGTGCGTGAGATTGAGGTTCGATTGTAGCTTGTAGCTTAATTGGTATTTTTGACATAATTGCATTTTTTGCAGAAGATTTTGTAGAAGTTTTAGTCGTTTTGTATTTGTGAAAACAGAAAACAATGAATCTACAATCAGAATACAAATATTCTACAATTCATCTATAAAATATCTACAAACTGGGTATATTGATTTTTTATGTCCCAATTCCCATTCAATTGTAGCATAATTGAGATTTTTGATATAATTGCGTTTTTCCAGAAGATTTGTAGAAGTTTTTAGCCGTTTTTTATTTGTGAAAACAGAAAATAAAGCATCTACAATCAGAATACAAATAATCTACAATTTATCTACAATTTCTGCAATATGTCTTCTTCTTCTTCTTCTTCTTCTTCTTCTTCGAGTTTCAATCTGAAATTCAGTCAAAACCAAAAGTCTAATCTTCACCAAAACCCCTCAAAATTGAGATATAAATTCCAAACCATATTCCCGATTATTTTCAACAACACCCAATCCAAACAAATAATGATTTTTGAAAACCCAAATTTGAATTCAAAGCTCTCAAGCTTTTTAATGGCTGTCAATGGTGGAATTGCTGCTATCTTTTTATTTGCTTTGTATTACTGAAATTTGCGATTGAGAAATAGAGAGAGATGTACAGAGAATGTCGACGAACAGAGCTTTTGCAGAACTGATTTCTACAATTTGAAATTGAGCTTCTGATTTCGATGAACTGAGCTTTTGATTTGTGCCTTAAGCGAAAATATCGAAGAACAGATCTGAGCTTTTGAACAGATTTGATTTCGACGAATTGAGCTTTTGAACAGATTTGATTTGTGGCTAAATCAATTAGAAGATTCTGTTCCTGAATTTTAGCACGCCTAATTAGGAACATTCAGCTACTAATAATTAGTATTTAATGAATGGTATAATAATTGTAGAAAAAATATGGACAGAGCGGGTAAATTAGAAACTGTGCACATTTTTGATAATAAAATTTCATATATGGTATAGGAAGGAAAAAATCTCATGTAAAAATTCCAATAAAATTTAGGGTCCTAAATTTTATCATTTTATGTCTTCCGGTCTTCTTCTTTTTCTATAATATAATCGTTAATCGTTAATCGTTAATCGTTAATCGTTAATCGTTATGCCGGGGAAAATGGCATCATGACATAGCAATCTCTTATTGGGGGTATTGAGAGGAAACGCACAGAAACTTGAGAATTGACCACAAAGTCCTTATCCCAATCTCTCCAGAAACCCTAAACAAAAAGTCTAGTTCGCACTACGAATGCGAGCGCCTTGCGTGGCTGTACTACTCACCAAAGCGGAAAAAGGGAAAGACCGAAGAGGAGGAATAAAATAGGAAAACCCAAACAAAAATGAGCAGCTTGGCCTTGTCTTCTCTCAAACTTCCGACGGTGCTTTTGCTCTCTCCGCCTCCACCCGCCAAGCTCATTCACCTCTCTTCTTTCTCCTCGTTTCTTCTCAATACCCGTAAGCCTCTCTCTTTTTCTGCATCTCTTTCTGATGTATTGTTTTTATATACACTTATATACACAGTCATTTTCCTCCGTGTTTGACTTCAATCCTTCTGACTCTTCGTTGAATCATGAATTTGAGTTAAATTTTGTTTTCATTTTGATGTTCAATTAATGCTTACCCAAGCCTGTTCTACTTAAATGCCTGAGCCTAGCTGTCTTTTTGAACTTGAATGAATATTGGGTTAATATAGAAATAATAAATCATCAATCAGAATTCAGATAAATGGCTGATGGCCGTTTAAGAAAGAGGATAGAATTTGGGAAAGAATAGAGCGTTTTTGCTCTCACCAGTATATTGAACACCTTTTTATAGCAAAGGAAAGATGTAAAACATGCAAACAATACCTTTCTATTATCTTCGTGTTTTGCGCTCCGTAACTATTCCTAGGGGTGGGCATCGGTCGGTTCGGTTCGGTTATGAATATTATCCGTTTAGCATATCGGTTATCGGTTTACAAATTTGATAAACCGATAACCAAACCGATAAGATATCGGTTATCGGTTAATCGGTTATCGATCATTATCGGTTTACCCGATAAGATAACTCAATCTAGAGTTAAGCAAAAAAGAGAAAACAATTCACTGGAGTTAAGCAAAAAAGAGAAGAATTCACATATATTATACTGCTCATTTCTGCGTTCTGTCCGGTGGCCATAACTGGAATAGTACTAATTCTTCAACAACAGTTGTCCAAATACACTAATAATAATACAAAGTAGTAGCAATTTCACCTTAAAATTAACAAGTCCAAACATATAGTACTAATAGTCCAAGATAAACTGGATGTTGTTTGTCAAATACCTAACCTGAAAAAAGAAACCATAGAGCAAAACCTTGATCTGTGCATGGGCAATACTAACACAGAAATGAAAAACACCTAGAAGGCAAGAAATGTTGTCCTGTTGTCAAAGCTCAGCGTACTGTACAGAAGAATAATGTTCAAAAATATACCCGAAAGTGTGAAGAGAAATTGGTAGTTGTTATAGGCTGCACAATGTGAGCTCACAAAATTAAGAAACGAAAATAAAAAAAATAAAGAATCATTAACAGTCAAAAATACCAATATGAAGATGAATTTTGTTATAAAAATTAAAAGCCTAATGTATAAGACTAAAGACTTACGCTAGGAGTAACTAGTAAGGTCTATGAAGAATGAAGATGAAGCAATTGAAGAGTGCGGCTGAGAAAGAATAGTAGAGAATGAACTGAAGCCCTAGCATATGTATATACTTAAGGGTAAAGTCGTAATTTTATTAATTCTTATTGGGTTATTGGTTAACCCATTAACACAATTGGCAACCCGAGGCCCGAACCGATAACCCAATAGTGAAAAAATTCTAAACCGTTACGGCGTTACCAAACCGTTAACCCAATAAGCCTATACGGTTAACCCAATAAACAATTAACGGTTCGGGTTATTGGTTTTACCCGATATATGCCCAGCCCTAACTATTCCTCAGCCAGGCAAGTATTAGTAGCTAACAAAAACGCCTTCCTTGTCATTATATCTTTGTTCGTCAGGAAAGCATGTTACAACATCTGGAGTTTGTTTCAGTATCCTTATTGTTCCTTAGATGATTACTCTTCCGTTTTGCTTTCTATCTATTTCCTTTAGATGTAATGTGCTAGTGCTTTTGGTAATTTTTGTCACGGTGCTGGTGAAACTAGACAGGTGTTCCCCAAGCAACATCTAGGGAATTTTTCAGTGTGGTAAAAGTATCTTCAAGGCCAATATCAACCATGGCAACTGTAAGATAATACATCCCTTTGGATATTGTTATTATCATCATTAGTTGCATGATAATCACTTACAATATTCTGCGGAATCATAGCTAACATACCTGCTTACTGTACAGGATAAAGAAATTGTAGGGAGTGTTAAGGAGCAATTAGCAAAGCTATTTGAGGAATCACTTAGGGCAGCATTCCCTGATATTGAAGACGTGCAGCCTATGATTGCTATTTGCAACGATTCAAGACACGGTGACTACCAGTGGTATGAATTACTTAATTTACAAGTAACTACAGTGTTGTCAAAGGCTCACTTTAAGCGCGCTTAACCCTTAAAGCTAAGTGCAAAAAAGGATGATTACTTCTCCTCGCTTAGTGTGTCTCGTTGCCAATGGACGTTGTCCCGAAGAAGCCATGCTCCAAACAATAAAATATTTCACTGTAGTTCTTTTTTCAGGTTAGCTGTTATTGGTGCGTTAGTAATTATTATTGAATAGCAGATATACTTGTGTAGTCTTTTCTTCTTTTGCTCCTTTTTCCATTAAATCCTGCACTTTGCTTGCCCTTTGCGACTAAAGCCCCAATAGACCCAACACTTTTCAGCGCTTTTCGCCTTTTGATAACACCGATTTATTAAGACTATTAATAGTTCTATTAATATTGCTAGTAGTTTTATTGCATAGGAAATATTAGGCCATTATTTCCTGCAACTTCTCACCATGGGGTTTGATACTTTGATTTTCGGCAGCAACAATGCGATGAGCTTGTGGAATAAGATTAAAGGCCAAGGTACGCAGTTCAGGGGTCCTCAACCTGTTGGAAAGGTAATTACATTGACATCCTCTATAGTCTCTTTGCCTTATTTCTATTCATGCCAGTATCTTCGAAGTTCGTAGTTTTGATAATAGTCTTGAAGTGCAAGATACTAAGATCACATTTGTTTTCTTATGTTTAGGCTATTATAGATAATCTTCCTGCATCAGAAATGATTGAGAGATGCTCTACAGCAGGACCTGGTTTTATTAATGTTGTATTAAAAAAGCAATGGATAGCAAAGGTGTTCGCTTTATTTTACCCCAGTTCTATTCCTTTCGAATTTCATTTTATGAAAAGGTTTGTCTCATATAATGACATTGTTGTTTTTGTTGATGCAGAGCATTGAGAAGATGCTAATAGACGGTATTGAAACATGGGCACCAAAGCTTCCTGTCAAAAGGACAGTTGTTGATTTTTCATCTCCAAACATAGCAAAGGAGATGCATGTTGGTCATTTGAGATCTACTATTATTGGAGACACTTTGGCCCGAATGCTGGAGTTTTCTAATGTTGAAGTTCTTCGGAGAAACCATGTGGGTGACTGGGGAACACAGGTAGATGTCATGCTCAAATAATCTCGTAATTCTGTCTTTGTCATGAGCAATTGGAATAAGATATACATATGTCTAAATTCGTTTGCAAATTCTTCTGGGCTAGACCTTTTTTCTTTTTCAAACTGATGCATCAATTGCCTGAACTGTTAAAGCAATTAAGAAATGGTGCATTAAACAGATATCCTTGACTTTTCTTCTTGAAAAATATTATATTGATTATCGTTATCCGCATCGATGTTATAACACTGTCAATTTAGCCTTAATTTATGACATGAGTGGAAAAGACTTCAGACAGATTGAGAAGGGATTTTTTGCTGGTAAGAAAGAGGAGGGAATTTCATTTGGTAAGGTGGAATATTGGTACTCTTGACAAAGAAAATGGAAGATTAGGAGTAAGGAACCTGAGGATCCATAGCCAAAGCTTGCTGTACAAATGGCTTTGGAGGTTCAATTTTGGAGAAGGGGCTCTTTGGAGAAAAGTTTTGGTAGAAAAATAGGGCCACGAGGCCCACGACCCATGAGACCCGTGGTACACTAAAGTGGTTCAGGGACCTTATGGAATTGGGGTTTGGAAGCACATCAGAGAACATTGGGATGTTCTTTGCTATGATCAAGTTAAAATTGGTAAATGGAAAATTTTAATTTTGGCATGACACATGGACGGATCACACACCTTTACAAGATCAATTTCGAGATTTGCTGAACATGCTGATGCCACTGGGCACTAGTTTGGGTGGACTATTAGATTTATAAGAGATTATAATGATTGGGAGATTCAATGGGTGCTGCAACTGTTTGGGCAGAGTTGGAAGCCCTGGGAGTTAATTGGGGAATCTGATACTTTAATTTGGTTCTCAAGAAATGCTATTTTCTCTGTTAATAGCTGCTACAAAAGCTTGGTAGCCTCTTCAATCAACACTGTAGAGTGGCCATGGCCATGGAGAAGGATCTGGAGAACAAGGTCTCCATATAAGGTAGGCTGTTTCTGTTGAGAGGCTGCCCATGGTGCGGTATTGAGTCTATTGACTCATCGGAATCTGATGAAAGGCAGCCCGGTGCACAAGGCATCCCGCGTTCACATAGGGTCCGGGGAAGGGCCGCACCCTAAGGGGTGTGATGTAGACAGTCTACCCTAATGCAAGCATTAGTGGCTGCTTCTACGGCTCGAACCCGTGATCTATAGGTCACACGGAATCTGATGAAGAGGGGAATGAATTTATGTGGCAGGTGTCTCACGTGAGAGGGGCGTGGAAACATCAGGGCACCTTTTTATGTACTTCCGCAGAGCTTATTTCTCAACATCCTTTGGATAGTTTAGTGATGCCTACTTCTGTTAAAGATCTTTTCAGCTGCTGGCATTCACATGGTTAGAGAAAGGACAAAGAGATGATATGGAATACAATTCCTTCTTGTGTGCTATGGGTGATATGCAAGGAAAGAAATTAGGTGTTTTGAGGGAAAAGCTCAAACTATACAGTGTCGGAAATATAAGTTTTTACGGTTATTAGCTTTATTAGCTAGTCGGTGTACATTGGAAGATGCATATGAAGCTGACAGCCAGACACTGACAGATTTTTTAATCTCTTTTCACGACTAGCGTGATTTTGTACATACTTTATATCTGACAGCACATACTTAATGCTGTTTTCATAGTGAATAAAAATTCCTACATTCTCTTTCAAAAATAGATAGGTGACATGAATAGTCTATCATTATTCAAGTTTACATACCTTTAGAATAATACGATGTCATTATTCTGAAATATTCATGCAACTGTTGGTTGAATGAGCAATCTTACTCTGATTTGTTTTGAAAGAAAGACCAAATTTTATGTTCATTGGATTTTATCCACGAAGCTATATAGTGATTTATTTATGACTAGATACAAGTACTCTTTTTAGAGTAGTATGTTATGCACTAGAAATGGTTCCCTTACCTTGTAAGTCAAAAAGCCTCACACTTATTATATCTTTTGCAGTTTGGAATGTTAATTGAGTACCTCTTTGACAAAATTCCTAACTGGGAAGCTGCTAGTGCCCAAGCCATTGGAGATTTGCAGGTGAATGTTCAAATTTAGCTGTCATGCTCCTATTATCTTACTCTGTGATTTTTGATAATCTCCATTTGGTCCTAGATAAAGCATGCAATATGCACATAAAAAATTAGCTTAATAGAAAATAATGGAAAAAGAAAAGGATTAGCATTGACAGAAATTTCTGATACTACATAGTGTTCTTTTCTTTGTTCACATGCTATCATTTTCTATTATTACTTGACTTATTAGGAAGTCTTTAAACAATTGTCTATTATTAGCTACAAATATGAGCATACCTTGGAATGTGCGCGTATATTTTTCTTGAAAACTTCACTTGGGAGGGAGCAGTACATGTGGTAGGATGACGGAATTTTGTATGATAACTTGACATATCAGTCCTTTTCTTGATTTCTTGTAGGCATTCTATAAGGCCTCAAAACAAAGATTTGACAATGATCCAGATTTCAAGGAGAGGGCACAAAAGGCTGTTGTTAGTCTACAGGTGAACTTTCAAGTTTTGCAAGTCTGCATCTCATGATAACATTTTTCTTGATAGATGTTGGGGAAATTCAAATCTGTCCTTTGAAGGGGAGGGGGCAAATGAATATGTTTGCAGATATCCGCTGCTTCTCTTGCATTATTTGTTTGAGGAAATGTCTGATGGCATCTGATAATCGTGTTATAGCTTCCTCATGAAAAATCTGCTCAACTAGTTAATAACTTTTAAGGATAACATTTTATTTGATCCTTTTCTCTTATATGTGTATTTCAATTGGTGTATGTCTCATAGGGAGGGGAGGAGAAGTACAGGAAGGCATGGACACAGATTTGTGAAATTAGCAGAGAAGAATTTCAAAGGGTTTACGAAAGACTTGGAGTTCACTTAGAGGAAAAGGTACCTTGTTGAGCATTCTCTACTATCTAAAATTGAAATCTGGAGAGCATGCATTATATCTTGGTTTTGCCTTCTAAATATGATGCATCCTCTATGCTAATTTTGTTTAATATCTCCACGAGGCGTGCTAAAAAATTTTCTGATCCTCCATGCTATTAGAATCACATATGTACTGTTTCAACTTTTAGCACCCATGAAATGATTCTGAATCTGATGATTTTACTTGTTTTGTAGTTTCAACTTTTAGCAGCCATGAAGCGAGTCTGAATTTGGTGATTTCACTCGTTATGTGATTCCAAAATGGAACATGCATATAATGTGACATATTAAAGAACTAAGCAGACTATGATATGTGCTTATGCTTATTTCACTGGCAATGGAAATGTAAGGTGGTCCATCTAAAAGAGATCAAACAATCAATTGATGTTGGCTTTTGTAATGGTTATGTTTATGGTTCAACATATCATTTGATAATATACATAATTTTTTTTTTTGGTTGGGTAAGTAAGAAATTCGTCAGAGTTGCACAAATATTTCAAGGAAAATAATCTGCCAGAACATCTATCAAGTTAAACCAGAACTCACTTCCTGCGTTGATATGAAATACTTAATCTCAAAGAGAATGCTTCAAAGGTATTCCCTTGAAGGGGAATTCTCATAGCAGTCGCACCAAAGCGTGTGCTTGGTGGTGAATGAAGCTAGAATGAACCTTGGGAAACCAAGGTTCAAATTCCAGCAGATGCAAAAAAGTTAGGTATAATTTCTAGCCCTGGTGGACAGAGGTATATGGTGCCTATGTTGATGGGAGGTCGCAGGTATCCGGTGTATTAATTGAGCTGCGCACAAGCTAGCTCGGCCACCATTGCTATAAGAAAAGGAAATTGCATAATGGTTGCATTAGAAGCTTTAGTATGTTTTACTGGACAATGTACTGCGTATATTGCTGCCACCTGAAATTTAATTAGACTTCTAAAAAAGTTGAAACTCTTAGATTCAGATGATTAATTTCTGAAGAAATGGTAAATGAAAAAGAAAGATGAGTAGCCTGTTGCCTGAACTTTTGATCTTAGCGTTATAGTTCTGCAGATTTGTTTTGATGATCAAATTTGTTGGTCAATTAAACCCTAAAGAGAATCTTTTTTATTGGTTTTGGGGGGGGGGGGGGGCTATAATTAGAAGATCCTGGTGAATACTCCTTTAACTAATTTCATCTTGCATGTGGTGCAGAAGTTGGAAGGGAGCCTTGGCGTAATTGGTAAAGTTGCTGCCATGTGACCAGGAGGTCACGGTTCGAGCCGTGGAAACAGCCTCTTGCTGAAATGCAGGGTAAGGCTGCGTACAATAGACCCTTGTGGTCCGGCCCTTCCCGGACCCCGTGCATAGCGGGCTGCCCCTTATGTGGTGCAGAAATTGAATATGATTTATGATTTTTGACATTGGACCATCTGGCTCTGGTAGTCAAGTAAATATGGGGAAAATCATTTGGCGTGAGTGTCCTATATGTAAATAGTGCTATCATATCCTGCAGAAGGATTGTGGGAGAATATGATGTTTTTTATGACAGTGGCGTCAAGCCCGAATTGCGCGCACCATGACTAGTCCACTGAGTACTTGCTACCACCCACTAGCAGAGGTACTAGGTAACTCTACCCACCAAGGCCTGGGTGGATGGGAAGAAATCACCTAGTGTCTTTTACCTTAGCTTGGATTTAAACCTGAGACCTTACGTTCTCCTCCCACTTCATTAACCACTAGGCCACACCCTTGGGTACGGGAATATGATAATTAATTCAGTGGGCTTATCCTTTTTTAATAAAATATTCTTTTTTCATTTTGAATTGAGCATGTAGCATGCACATGCATTACTTGTTTTATGTATGATTGAGCTAACTCTCATTGATTAATTTGGTATTTCTTCTTTTTAGGGTGAAAGCTTTTACAATCCGTACATTCCCAAGGCGTTAGATTTGCTTAACAATAAGGGATTGATTCAAGAAAGCGAAGGAGCTCGTGTTATCTTTATTGAAGGGAAAAAAATACCTCTTATCGTTGTTAAGAGGGATGGTGGTTTCAACTATGCTTCAACTGATCTTACTGCACTATGGTTGGTTTTCATTGTAACTTGCGCTTTTATGGACTTTGCAATTATAGGCTGTTATGTCAAAATCATGGGAGGTGTTTTAATGGGCTTTGGTGTCATGTTTGCCCCTTCTACTGCCAATATGACATGTCCTTTATGTCATTTTTTGTCATTGCATGATTCGTGTCTAAAATCACCAGTCATATTCATAGAGGACATTGAAATATAAATAAGATCCTCTTCAGACAGCATTGGCCTAGAATTGTGATGCCTCTTTGAGGTACCATGGATTATGTCTCGTTAATTGCTGTCTGTTTTACTATGTATAGTTTTAGAGAGGATCTAACAGTAAAAACCCAGGCATCTCAGAAAGCCATTGTTCTGCTTCTCAATCAGCTTTTGGCTCGCTATGGTGCCTACATATACATACACACACACACCAGATCTCTATCTTCTTTATCAAAAAAAAAAAATATATATATATATAAATAGGTTTGCGTTTCTACTTGGTGATAAACCTAGCGCCGTGGGAAGTTTGTTGCGCTACTCTACTTTTCTGTCTCAGTATTAAGGTTTGTGTAAGAGCTGCATGTATATTAAGTATGTACGCAGGAAGGAAAATATCTTGTCCCAGTGGCAAAGTAGGTCTTACAGGTAGCTGTGAGTTCTTGTAATCAGTGTAATGCAAGCAAATGATAATATATGTTAAAGAGGTGATTTTGAGTACAGATTACCCATCTTAAATTAATCCATATAATTCAGACCATTATGATTAGATTACTCTAACTTATGTGATGTAGTATAGGTAACTAGCTGGGTAGAGGGGTGTTGAGTTTGCAAGGCTTTCAATTTGGGTATCAACTGGTGTAACTGATGCTGGGACTCGGAGTTCAATGTATATTGAAGTTTCAACACATGATTTCATGATACCTTCTATATGCAACTCTTAAGGTATCGGCTTAATGAAGAGAAAGCAGACTGGATGATATATGTGACTGATGTTGGCCAGCGAGAGCACTTTGAAATGGTCTTTGCTGTAAGTTTCTAAAATCAATCTCTCTTTTTCTATCCCTACTTGGCATATGATGTAAATATATATTTATTATTTGATGAATAGCTTATGATATGATCTCATGAGGATTGAGCCATAACCAGGTTTGTTTTCCCTCGAATCTTCTTTCAGGCTGCAAAACTTGCAGGCTGGCTTCCCCTAAACGAGAATGACTTTCCCAAGGCCAGTCATGTAGGATTTGGTCTAGTTTTAGGAGATGATGGCAAACGATTTCGTACTCGGAGTACTGAGGTGGTTAAGCTAGTTGATTTACTTGATGAGGCCAAGAGCCGGTGTAAATTAGCACTTGAAGAACGAGGTGTGTAGAATGATATTTGGTTGATTCTTGAATAGAGGGATTTTGGGAATTTTTGTATACTAGCTTATTTTTATTTGAATTGGCGTCTCTCTTGTCAATTATGGGTAATAAAGTTTTGCAATCTTAATTTATAATGCAGAATTTCATGTTTTCTGTCATTACTGTCTTAGCAGGTAAGGCAACAGAATGGACAGCTGAGGAACTGGAGCAAACTGCTGAAGCAGTTGGATATGGTGCTGTGAAGTAAGTTCCTCATGCTTTTGCATGCATTTGTACTTATTTTCATTTTGCAAGAGAACAAAAATGAGCTGGGCAATTGGATACAGAGCTTCCAAGTTTGGTGGTGAAGAAAAGCAAAAAAAAGTGTGACAAGTGATGATGACCTTAATATTTCCTCAACTTGGTTGAGAATTTATAATCATTACTTATGTGACAATTGGTGAAATGCCAATTTTAGGCATAACAAAATTCATAATCTATGCATGATTACACTAATCAGATCAATTTATATTAAACCTATTCAATATGAATCAATGCATATCTTGTAGTTCTCCTAGCATTTACCCTCAAGAGATTAGTACCCAGCATTTCCCAGCTGGAGCAGGCAAGTGTTATAGGCTCCAAGTTTGTTACTAATTTACTGGATCCAATCCAAGTACCTTGAAGGGATTTAGTTACAACATCTGCAAGTTGGTAATTTGAACTGGCAAAACTAGTGGTAATGCATATGAGTTCAATCTTCTATCTTAGAAAATGACAATCTACTTCTATCTATCTCGTTCTTTCATGAAATACTGGATTTGAGTCTATATAAAAGAAGGTATATTGTCACATTTTTACTTCATCTTTGTGACCTCAATGCACCTATCATAGAGAAGTTGTTTAACTAGATAAGCTTTAAGTTGCAAGGGTCATAGCTTGATATTTTGCTTCTGCAGTAGATCTGGTGATAACATCTTGTCTTTTACTCTTCCAAGAGATCATATTTCCTCTGATCATGATACAGTATCCAGAATTGAATTGTCTATGTGAGGGAGAATTCGTTCAATCTGCGTTAGAGTATCCAACATTTTGTCGATGACCCTTCATATAACAGTCCTTGTCCTTGAGCTCCTTTAGTGTACTCAAAATGCAAATTATTGCATCCTAATGGCCAGTTGGCCACGCCATGGAGTTTGGAGAATTTAATTTACGGCAGATGAAATATTTGGTCGTGTGACTTTGAGATAAATTAGTTTGTCAACCAGTCTACCAGACTTCTATCCTTTTCCTATCTAGAAACAAGTTTAACATTTGGATTCGTAAGAGTGTCAACATATTTGAAATCTAACATACTTGTCTCCTCAAATATATCCAAAGCGTACTTTCTTTGTTGGATAGCTATGCCAATCTTAGATTGTGCTACCTCGATCTCCAGAAAGTATTTCTATTTGTCCAAATCTTTGGTTTACTAGTGATTGAACAAATGGCAAGTTGAGAAATTCCTTGTTGGTCATTGCTTGCTATGTCAATGTCATCAACATAAACCAGTTTAGTGTCATACTTCAACCTAGCATGTCTGTCGCATGCAAAAGCAGGGGAATCTAATGGTCTGTGCTATGATTTTGTGAACTTTTAGTATAGTGGTTGTTTTAGGCCAACTTTCTGTCAGGCAAAACTGAAAAAGTATGAACAGTGAAAGAAAATTTCTATTTTGGAGAAGTGACATTTTATTGGAGGATTCAAGAAAGAGACTTTATATGGGACGAGGGAGTATACATACGAAAATTAGTTGCCTCGTTGGCAATAAGTTTGGAACAAAATTTCTGGTTCAATAGTTCAAACAAGTAGGTCAGAATGCCTTTTGTTAGAATAGTCGTGTAAATAGGAGTAAATAACTCTAACCCTAATCCAATATGTATTAGGAGTAGGATATGTTATGTGTGTATATATAGGGCTCATTGTAGCATTGTTAATTAATCAATAATAATATTTTTCTCCCGTGCATTCTCACATGGTATCAGAGCATTAGTGAGAAACATATCGCTGTGCATCATTCCAGCGACTTCCGGGAAGAAAGACCTCGTCGCCGTGCAATTTTCCGGCGACTTAGAAGGCTGCCCGTAATCAAGTCACTTTCTATCGGTATTGTGCAAAAAAACCAACACCACCACGAGGTAGATCACTCGTCGGCGACCAACCCTTCAAAATTTCTCCGGCAGAAAAGCTGCCACGCGCCCACGCGCGCCGGCAGAAGAATTTTTCCGGCGAGCGCGTGACACCCACGCGCCGGCGCGTGAGCCCACTTCCGGCCATTTTTTGATGAAACTCCTTCAGGGCAGTTGGATCGTCCTTAAATTCCGAGCCTACCCATAATTTTATTTTTCAATTCCGACCACTTTGGAATTTCCGGCGAGCTACAGTGATTTTTCCGGCGTGAACAGTGATCCCAGCGATTTTCTGCTTTTTTCCGGCACAATATTATAATGGAATTAATACCTGAAGCTTTTGCCTCACAATCCGTTGGATTAAATGCAATAAATCCAATCCAGATGGTTTCTTTACCGGATTATATTGAGTTCCTTCAGTAAAAAGCACGTAAACAGACATCTTCAGGATTAACCTCCGTCGTTCCAACAAATAGTAGTATGACTGGTGTCTCCCAATCTACACCCTCTGAGTCTTGGGTCATTGATTCAGGTGCATCTGATTATATTTCTGGTAACAAATCTCTTTTCACTAGTATCTCATATTCTCAATCTCTTCCAACAGTCACAATGGCCAATGGGTCTCAAGCCATGGCAACTGCAATAGGTCAAGCAAGTCCACTTCCTTCCTTACCTTTAGACTCAGTTCTTTACGTTCCTGGTAGTCCTTTTAATCTCATAGCCGTTAGTCGCTTAGCCAAATCACTTAAATCTGTTGTTCTATTTCTTGATGACCTTGTTTTTATACAGGAACGCAGTACAGGGCGGATCATTGGTACCGGACGTGAATCAGATGGACTTTATTACCTTATCCTTGCAAAATCACGTGGACTCGCATCTTGTCTTCCTCCAATAACTTCTCTCGTTACTGATTCACCAGATTTATTACATAAACGGTTAGGACATCCCAGTTTGTCAAAACTTCAGAAAATGGTACCTGGCTTATCTCACTTGTCCACTCTAGAGTGTGAGTCGTGTCAGCTCGGTAAGCATACCCGCTCCCATTTCCCCCATCGTCTTGACATTCGAGCAGAGTCACCTTTTACTTTAGTCCATTCAGATGTTTGGGGTCCTAGTCGGGTTAGCTCTACCTTAGGATTCCGCTACTTTGTCAGTTTCATTGATGATTATTCCAGGTGCACTTGGATATTTTTGATGAAAAACCGATCTGAGTTGTTTTCTATTTTCCAGACCTTCCATGCTGAAATTCAAAATCAATTTGGGGTTTCTATCCGTACATTTCGTAGTGATAATGCCCTAGAGTATTTGTCTTCCCCGTTTCAGCAATTTATGAACTCCCATGGGATTATTCATCAAACATCTTGACCGTACACATCCCAACAAAATGGGGTAGCTGAAAGAAAGAATAGACATCTTATTGAAACTGCTCGTACCCTACTCATACAATCTCATGTTCCGCTGCGTTTTTGGGGGGATGCAGTTCTTACATCTTGTTATCTTATTAATCGTATGCCATCTACAGCTATCCAAAATCAAGTTCCATTCTCTGTCCTGTTTCCCCACTTACCTTTGTTCTCTCTTCCACCCCGTGTCTTTGGGAGTACGTGTTTTTTTCATGACCTTACTCCAGGAAAAGATAAGTTAGCTCCCCGTGCTCTTAAGTGCATATTTCTGGGTTACTCGAGAACGCAAAAAGGATATCGATGTTATTCTCCTGACCTTCATCGATTTCTTATGTCTGCTGATGTTACCTTCTTTGAAACCCAATCATACTTCACAGGTCCAGTTAATCACTTAGATATTTCTGAGGTGCTACCTGTTCCTTCTTTTGGGGATTCAGTCCCTATCTCCCATTCATCTTCCTCCATAGCTCCACCGCCTACAGTTCCAGTTCCAGTGCCACCACCTATAGCTCCCGTATCACCACTGAGTCCAGTGCCACCACCTAGTCCAGTTCCACCAACTCTAGCTCCAGTGCCACCACCTAGTTCAGTTCCACCAACTCTAGCTCCAGTGCCACCACCTAGTCGAGTGCAACCTTCTACAGCTCCACCACTCCTGACTTATCATCGTCGTCCGCCCCCAGCATCAGGCCCAGCTGATTCACGTCCTGCACCTGACCCTGCTAATACTGCGGACTTGTCTCCTCTTAATCAACCGATTGCACTACGAAAAGGTATACGGTCCACAGTTAATCCTAATCCTCATTATATCGGTTTAAGTTACCATCGTCTCTCATCATCCCATTGTGCCTTTGTGTCATCTCTGTCCTCTGTTTCCATTCCTAAGTCTACAGGTGAAGCACTGTCTCATCCCGGATGGCGACAGGCTATGATTGACGAGATGTCTGCTTTACATACGAGTGGTACTTGGGAGCTTGTTCCTCTTCCTTCAGGTAAATCGACTGTTGGTTGTCGTTGGGTGTATGCAGTCAAAGTTGGTTCAGATGGCCAGGTTGATCGACTTAAGGCTCGTCTTGTTGCCAAAGGATATACTCAGATATTTGGACTTGATTACAGTGATACTTTCTCTCCCGTGGCTAAAATTGCATCAGTCCGCCTTTTTCTATCCATGGCTGCTGTTCGCCATTGGCCTCTCTATCAGTTGGACATTAAGAATGCTTTTCTTCACGGTGACCTTGAGGATGAGGTTTATATGGAGCAACCACCTGGATTTGTTGCTCAGGGGGAGTCTAGTGGCCTTGTATGTCGGTTGCGCCGGTCCCTCTATGGTCTAAAACAGTCTCCTCGAGCCTGGTTTGGTAAGTTCAGCACAGTTATTCAGGAGTTTGGCATGACTCGTAGTGAAGCTGATCACTCTGTATTTTATCGACAGTCTGCTTCGAATCTCTGTATTTATCTGGTCGTTTATGTTGACGATATTGTTATTACCGGCGATGATCAGGATGGTATTAGTAAGTTGAAGCAACATCTCTTTCAACACTTTCAGACTAAGGATCTGGGCAGATTAAATTATTTTCTGGGTATTGAGGTCGCTCAGTCTAGCTCAGGTATTGTGATCTCACAACGGAAATATGCCTTAGATATTCTTGAGGAGACAGGAATGACAGGTTGTAGACCTGTTGACACTCCGATGGATCCGAATTCTAGACTTCTGCCAGGACAGGGAGAGCCTCTTAGCGATCCTGCAAGATATAGGCGGTTGGTTGGTAAACTAAATTACCTCACAGTGACTAGACCTGATATTTCCTTTCCTGTGAGTGTTGTGAGTCAGTTTATGGATTCTCCCTGTGATAGTCATTGGGATGCAGTTGCCCGCATTCTTCGGTATATAAAATCAGCTCCAGGCAAAGGCTTATTGTTTGAAGATCGAGGCCATGAGCAGATCGTTGGATACTCAGATGCTGATTGGGCAGGATCACCTTCTGATAGACGTTCTACGTCTGGATATTATGTCTTAGTAGGAGGAAATTTGGTGTCTTGGAAGAGCAAGAAACAGAATGTGGTTGCTCGGTCTAGTGCAGAAGCAGAATATCGAGCAATGGCTATGGCCACATGTGAGCTAATTTGGATAAAACAGTTGCTCAAGGAGTTGAAATTTGGTGAGATTAGTCAGATGGGACTTGTGTGTGATAATCAAGCTGCTCTTCATATTGCGTCAAATCCAGTATTCCATGAGAGAACTAAACACATTGAGATTGACTGTCATTTTGTTAGAGAAAAGATACTCTCGGGAGATATTGCTACAAAGTTTGTGAAGTCGAATGATCAGCTTGCAGATATTTTCACCAAGTCCCTCATCCTCGTATTAACTACATATGTAACAAGCTTGATACATATGATTTATATGCACCAGCTTGAGGGGGAGTGTTAGAATAGTCGTGTAAATAGGAGTAAATAACTCTAACCCTAATCCAATATGTATTAGGAGTAGGATATGTTATGTGTGTATATATAGGGCTCATTGTAGCATTGTTAATTAATCAATAATAATATTTTTCTCCCGTGCATTCTCACACCTTTGACCACTGCAGCGATAGTTCGTCAATAGGGAGAAGTACATAGGTTCTATATAGTCATTGCTGTTGGCTCTTTATATTATCATAGGCATGCACTCCAATTACAGTTAAGTGTAATTTTGGAGAGTACATACCTTTTGTACCAAAATCTTTCACATTTATATGAATAGTGCTGTCATCTACAATCTCCAGATGTTTCAAGAAATCAAATTCATAACACACAAAACTATGATTGTGGTTTGACTTATTTCCCATCAAATAGATTTATCAAATATCTCTATAGTTTGCTCTGGTACATTTTGTGACACATGTCTGTTGTGCTTTTCTTGTCTTCTCTCGAGGACTCTGACCTTTTCTTTTCCCTCTTGGTATGGAAAATAGATATGCAGACTTGAAGAACAACAGATTGACCAACTACACATTTAATTTTGATCAGATGCTTAGTGATAAGGTGTGTATAGATATCGATTTACAAAATGAGTAAATTTCATTTTGCACTAGTATACTACTTTATCTCTCCTCGGATTAAGCCACGTGCTTCATTAGACTTATCTTCATCCTTCTCAATCTTCATGGAAACAGTTCCATGATTATAGTTATAACTGAAGCGGGTGAGATCCTGTAATATTTTCTGTTTTGCACTTGATTCATAGGTTTGCTTTCTTATTTATGCCTCTGGTTAAATAAGCTTTGACGTTCACTTGTATTTCTCTGTGATTGGCAGGGAAATACGGCTGTGTATTTGCTGTATGCACATGCCCGAATTTGTTCGATCATCAGAAAGTCTGGTAGAGATATAGAGGAGTTAAAGAAGGTAAAAATTTCATTCGTCCTTGTTGAAATATGTCTTCTAGATTTTGTATGTACGTGTTTTTTGGGAGGGTGTGTGTGTTGTGTTCAACCAATGTACAAGTCAAATAGTTCCTGCTATTATTGCTCTTTGGCCACTTGTGGCTGTTTAAAAGTTAATGCTTTGGGTTATTGGATTTGTAGAACTAATAATTCTCACAATTGAGTGATTTGTAATGGACAGGTAGGAGGTATAGTATTGGCTCATCCAGATGAACGTGCGTTAGGCCTTCATTTGCTCCAGTTTGCTGAGGTAAGTAGATGTTCTATAGTTATTACAGCGTCGTGACTTTCTATTATCTGTGCAAAGTTCTAGTCTTGTAAATATTGGTGTCTCATTTGCAGATCGTTGAGGAGGCTTGTATCAATCTTTTGCCAAACCTTTTGTGTGAATATCTTTACAAATTGTCTGAAGACTTCACAAAATTTTACACCAATTGTCAGGTAAGAATTTTTTCTAGTGAGAAGTATTGTCAGGTATGAACTCTTTCTAGTGAGAATTAAGTTAACCACAGAACGGAAAAATTGGATACTCTTCACCTCGATAAGTCATGGCTAAGTTGTCACAAACTAGCTTGAAACCACTTGCTAGTAATTCTGGAAGCATCCCATGTAGCTGCTGCTTCATGGTTAGTTATCCTAGGATTATAATGTAGGGATTGTTAGTGTTATGAATAATAATACATAAATTGTTATGCAAAGATTGATGGGGAAGTTAAGAATTAGTTTACCAATTAGCGTACATATTGAGTTTTAGTTCTAAAAAGAAACTCTTAGATTAAAAATTACTGTAACGTAAGGCGGATTAACCTTTACTTTAGGAGTATTTGTCGTTTCAGGTACTCTTATACAAATATTACTAATAACAAGCATTCTTATTCCACATTTATCTCACATAAAATAGAACATAGGTTCCAGCAACAGCACTAAAAAAACAAGAACAACACATAAGATTCATGCAAGGATGACGATCGTCTTGAGGAATTATTTGTTTTTTGAGTTGATAGCTAGCTCTTAAAGTTTTATTTTGGAATTTGGCAGGTGGTTGGTTCAACGGAGGAAACAAGCAGGCTTCTGCTGTGTGAGGCAACAGCTGTTGTGATGAGAAAGTGTTTCCATCTGTTGGGTATCACCCCTGTTTATAAAATTTGAAATGTTAAAAAGATTTTGTACTCTTCTTTCTTTCTTTCTTTTTCTCTTCTAGGTTTTGGCCAAGATTTCCGCCTATCCTGCCCAATGTGTACCCGACTTTGCAGTTTAATAGTCTATTGATATCCAAAATCAGTTGGTTATGTTATCTGAGGGGCAGTACTTGTGTTTACTTCCTCATTCAATTTTTTTGGGGGCAATATTCAGCATCACTACATATTGTTTTTATAGTATTTTGAAAGGTTTGGAACCTTACTCAACATAGGGTCCAAAAACCCGGCATACCCTTTTTTATTAGTGTCAAGAAAGGTCCTAGATATGACAGTCACAACTCACGACTGATCTTTTGTCAAATTAGACGAGACTAAAGTGGCCATTATTGCAAAGAAAAAGTATACAAGGAAAGTAGTTATGGAACTGACCTGGATTGAACAGATGAAACAAATTCCTAATTTGTAAATTAAGTGTAAAAATATTCGTTAAAGTTATGATTTTTTTTATATTTTAAGCTAGCTGAACTTCTTTTTTTAAATTCTAATAGATTGAATGAATTGAATTTATATTTCACGTGAAGGAAAAACTAAAAAGATCAGCAGTCAAAACAAAATAAAAAGGATTCTGTTTTGTAATTTTAGCAAATCGGCATAGTTAATTTGATTTATTTTTAAGGTAAAAGCCAAACCAAAACAATTACTACTACTTATCTTAAAAAAAAAATTATCTTACGAGTATGAAATTAACTGCTCAGAACCCTTGAAAAATTGATCAGACTCCTCGAGAAACTAGTAGGGTTTAATTAGTTTCAGAAATTTTCACAGTATCTATGTCTTTTTTCTTGACCCAACATTAATTAATTAATTGTATAGCCGCCGTAAAAATAATAGACGAAAAAATAACGCGGACTAAAAGTAATTACTCCTCAGCAATCAACAAACATTTCTGCTCAAAATTTGTTTCTCTTTCTACTGAAAATGTCAACCATTTTCCCATCACAATTTCACATGTTGCTAGCTTAAAAAAAAAAAAATTTTTACTACAAGCTTTCTAAGAATTAATAAACTAAAAATTCTTTTCCAAAGAAATGGGAGATGTACAATTAGCCACATGAAGAGTAGTGTTTGATAAAATAGGTCTCCTTGAACTTGAAGAGTAGGATTTCTTTTTAATGGTAGCTTTTGGACGAAATGATGATCTTTTGACATCTAAACCAAAACTCTTAAATGATTTCATTCTCTGATTATAAGAATTCCCTTTCTTTGCAAGATCCTCTAGGCTTTTCACACTTGCTAAACATCCAAACGATCGACTATTCCCTTGATAATATTTTGATAATCCTCTCCTGCACACACACAAGAGTTCATATATTTCATTAGAATTTAGAGTGTATTTAACATAAAACCTTTTGAAGAATTAAAATAAATAACTGTTCATCCAACTGCTTAAATTAAATCCTCCAGCTGGAGGATATATAATATATGTGCAACTATATGTATATTGGTGTGAAAAATCAATATATAATCTATGTATACGGACTAAAAAAAAAATATGCATACTGGCTAAAAAAATAAAAGTAAGTTCGATCAACTATTTGTATAATCAATCCCAATATTTTTCTATAATATACGGTGATATAAAAGATAATTGCAAGTAATTACCCATAATATGTGAGATTGTAACACAAGACAAAAAAATTTACAAGACAAATTAAAAAATATTTACAGTCATGAGCTAAATTCTTTGCCCAAACAGAAATTCTCAAAAACTTTAAAAACCTTCCAAAAAAATAGATTAAATTTGAAGAAAACATATATTTTGCATCTTTGAATATGAGGATCAAATAGCAGTTAATCATCTATTACCATAAAAAAAATGCATCAAACCCTCCATTTCTTTTAATTTTTTTTTATTACTTCAAAGGAGGGAGAAAAGTGGAAGGGGATGCTACGCTACATCTTAGATTTGAACCCTTCACCTAAATTGCGTTTGAACCCTCCACCTCAACTACGCTAGCGTTTGGACATATATTTTATTCGAAGAAAAAGTTGAAGTTTTGTGAGTGAAGGAGAAATTTTCGCCCAAAAACAGCCCTAAACTAATTTTTGAGAACTCAAAAATTTTTGAATTTTTTTTCCAAACACATGATCATATTTGATAAACAAAACAAATAATGTTTTCAAAATACTTTTGAAAAAATCTATAGCCAAACGCGAACTAAACGAAAAGCAGGCTAAAATAATGATAAATTGTGAACTTACTTGATAGGTAAGTGATCCATTAATTCAGACAACTCATACAAAGGTCCATGAGATGAAGCATCATCATCTAGCTCAAATGACGAAGACAAAGATTCCGACGAATTTGAGTGAAGGGAATAATCATCAGAAATACAATTCTCAGTTTCCATAATAACCCACGTCTCAACATTATTCATTTGGTTACCACCATTCTTCTCTTTCAACCCCATTATATTTAAAGATGACTGAATTTAATTTGCTAAAGAAAAGGAAAAAAATATAGAGATAAGTAACGGAATAGAAGATAATGATTTTCTTGTTTCCTCAAGACTTGGTAATACGTTGCAATTTCTATCAAGTTTCTGATAAGGAAACATTTATATACTTATCTCCTACTATTCTTTTGTCTTAATCCAATAATTTAATTATTTATAGATAAACATTAAAAAACTCTTGATGTTTTAGATTACATGGTTGAGAGATTTTTGAAGGGTTTGGCTGAGTGAGTGGGTGGATAATGACTGACGTGTATAATTATTATTTTATTATTATTACAATATTAGTTTCTTTTTTTTTTTTTTTAAATCGAGGAAGGTTAGTTAGTTTTCATGTTGTTTAATTTGCATTTATTCTTTAATTACGGATTACTTTTTAGGGTTAATTTTCATTCTACTAGGCAAAGTGGATAAGGTAGATTTTTGTAGACATCCAAATGTGACTCACCATGCTTTTTATTTTGGGGAAACTAATTAAAGTCACCATCTTTGTGACTTTTGTCCCCACAAAGGTATGACACTAGGACCCCAGCCTTTTGACATTTCCAGGCACTCATGTAGTTTGTAATTTTCTTTTCTATATTCGAAAAAAAGTTGTCAAAATAAAGGTCGATCAAAGACTTAAATATAATTGGTTTAATTTTAAAAAAAATTAGTATTGAACTTAATACATTATTAAAATTATAAATTAAGATTTATTAATATTTATTGAGATTTTAATAAATTTTTAATATATATCTATACTTTGTATAAAAAATTATGAATTTAAATGAACTCGTACTTGGTAATTAGGCTACATCCTCCTCAGGTCAAAGAGCTTAAAATCTTTGATTATTCTACTTCTTTTAACCAAATTTCCTTTGTTTTGGGAACATTTTCAAGTATTTTCATAATCAACCACTGATGCTTGTATTAGGATATACTGTCTACATCACACACTTTTGGAATGCGGCCTTTCCTCGAAGCTTGCGTAAACGAAGAATACTTTGTACGTCGGACTGTCTTTTTAGATCATTCTAACAATTCCAAAAAAGAATTATAAAGTTTCCCTTTTCCGCTCTTTTAGAAAAATAAGAAGTCACTTTTATTATGTTTTTCTTATCAAATCTATCCTTCTTACTCCTATTAGTGAAGCATTAATTATGTGAGACGTTTAAAGAATACACAGAAGATAGTTCAAAATATATTCTTATACTAAGGTTATTAATATTCTTATTTATAAAAGGGTGTGTAAAATCTTAAAGCATACATAAAATGAATCAGAGGGAGTAATTCAGTAGTAGAGCTACTAGTCTGCTACCTTGCATCTTAAAATCTTAATTAAAGGCGTAAGGTTTTATTTTCAAAAACAATCTTATTTGTCTTTTAATAATTCGAACTTCCCAAAAGAAAAATATAAAAGAGCATTATTTATATATATATATATGAGGAGTTCTACAAGGAAGAACTTCAATGGATGATAATAAAATCAATTTAGTTTTCAAGATTGTACTAAAAGAATTGTTCCTTTCTTACAAGCATATACCACATTAGCGAATTGAATAATAAGTTAATTTTGTCACTTTAGAAATTTCAAAGAATTGTTCCTTTCTTACAAGTATATACCACTTATGTGTCTACAAAAATTAAAGGATTTCTAATATTGATAGGTTGATGGAGAATTAATTATCTTTGACTGCTCAAGTCAGCTTGGGTTTTATATTTTCCCATATAATGTGTTGAATTATACAATATTTCAAATGAAGGCAAATTTATGATTTAGATTCTATACGTTTATTGATAATAGGTTAGATTTATGTAATTTGACGATTGTTTATGCCCCAGCTTGATTATGTTCTAATGTCATAATATAGTTAAATCATGAAAAATGGGCTCTAATTGTGAATTTCATATGTTGCAGGATGAGGAGCTTGTATGAGGCCTTAAAGCTATGATTGGAGCTATATTGAAGCAAGAAAAACTCCTAGGAGCTGAGTACGCGCGAAGACGAGAAAAAGAATCGAGAAAATAAAGGCCTGGACTAGCGCGACCAGATGCGGGAGGCAGAATGTTAGTCCACTAGCACGGCCATTAGCGCGGCCGCGCTAGTCCCAGTTCCGGAAAGAAAATTTTCAGGGGTAAACTTGGAAGTCTGGGGGTAAATTCACTTAACTTATATAAGGTCAAGCTCGCCCAAGGATGGATTTATCAAGGTTTTCATAGTTTAGTGCAAGAAAGAGAGAGGCAAGAGGCAAGGAGGATACACAACCATCGAGTTCTTCCTTTCTTTCTCTTGTTTTTACGATTTGTGATGAAATTGAATATTATTGTGATGAACACTAGTATGAGTAGCTAAATCCTTTGTCTAGGGTTTTGATGGACTTATTGAGGGATGAACTTCGTGATTATGTTAATATAGTTTGCCAGTTTAATCTCTATTTGTTCAACTACGTGTTTGTTGTAGTTAACTGACAGGATCCTCAATTAGTTGTGCCTATTTAATGCGCATAACTCAGGAGAGAGTGCATATTTAGGTAGTTGTTGAACATCACCACTCCCAAAGTATAAGAGGGATCTATAACTGCGGGTTTAAAGGCGGGATTAGGGATAACGAAGCCTTGGGTGCAATCTAAAGTGAGCTGTAATAAACAAAGCCAGCTAGTGTATCTCGGGAGAGTGTGTCTAGTAAATTATCGTGATTACTCGGGAGAGATTTACGGTAAAAGGAGTGCTCATGATTGATAGAGATATTTTGGTGAATCTATATGAAACATAACCGGAAGGGATTCCATCAGTAGGGGAAATCACTACCTTAGAACCTTCTCATAATTGTTTACAACTCAAGCATAGTTAGTTTTCAGCTGTTTATTTATTTTCAGTCTTAGTTATTAGAAATACCATCAACTGTTATTTACAACGTTTGGGGAACTTGATTCCATAGAATTTAGTAAGTCTAACGAAAGTAATTGATAGGTTGATTCCTTGTGGGTTCGACTCTGAGCATAAATACTCAGATTATATTTGTAACGTCCGTGTGTCCTTTTATAAGGCATAGTTGGGCGTGATCAAATTTTGGCGCCGTTGTCGGGGAATTAACGGTGTTATCAATTACAATTAAAAGAAATACAAAAATTCTTCGTGTAGTCAGTTTTCTCTATACCCAATCTATACATTGAAATTTTAACGTTTGTTGACTTGGTTGCACATGTGCATGCCTAGAAACTCAAGGAGAACTGGTGAAGAATTCGAAGCTCTATCAGATCCCAAAAAAGTTTTTAAGGCCTTGAACCGGGCCAACCGGAAAAGCAAACAGCAACAAACAATTGAACAATCCGAACCGAACATGGGAGATCACGAAAACAATCCACCGGCACCTCTTGTGCCAGAGGCTGCTCTCTATGATTGGGCACAACCCACAGCTGAAAATTTGGCCACAACGATTGTAGTCCCGCTGATACAGGCTGAATCATTCCAAATCACGAATAATATGATGCACTTGTTGCAAAACAAGGGACTATTTTTGGGGTCACAAGTCGAAGGTCCTCAGCAGCACTTGAAGAATTTCCTGTCAATATGCAAAACCCAAAGGCAGCCCAACGTAACTCAAGAAGCAATCAAGTTGTTGTTATTCCCATTCTCAGTAACAGGAGCTGCCCAGACCTGGATAAACTCACTCCCCATAAATTCCATAACAACCTGGGAGGAGTTAGTCAAACAATTCCACAACAAGTTCAACCCACCCAACAAGACTGCTCAACAAATTGATGAAATTTTGAGTTTTAAACAGAGACCAATGGAGACACAACATGAAACATGGGAACGCTTTAAGGGGATGCTGGTTGTATGTCCACACTATGGTGTCCCAGATCTGATGTTGGGACAGCGGTTTTACATGGGATTGTCAGATAGTGTGAAGAACATAGTTGATGCTTCAGCTGGTGGAGCATTTTTGAGCAAAACATGGAGAGAAGGCCAAAGTCTGCTTGACAAGATGGCACAGAATTCGGGATGGATAACCAGGAATGCACCTATCACCCCGGTGGTTCACTCAGTGCCTTTAGATCCATCTAACTCTATGGCTGAAAATATGGCCACCTTATTGACTCAGATGAGTATACTCACCAAAAAGGTGGAAGAGTCAGGGCAGAAGCAGCAGGTACACATCGTAGACACTACCAATGGGGGCTTGTGTGCATCTTGCATTAGTCAGCCCATTGGTAATCAGTGGAATGCAGAACATGATTATCATTACTATCCTGAAGACATGAACTATGCGTCTAATTATGGAGGCCAGAGACAGGGTGGTCAGAATTGGGGCCAGCAGAATCAGCAGTACAGGCCAGCCCAGCCACAGTTCAATACTGGGAACATGGGAGGTATGAGAGCCCCTAATAATATGGCTCCTTACCCAAGGCCACAGGGATATAATAATCAGAATCAGTAGCAGGGGTATCACCCTCCTCAGTAGCAGCATGGTGGAAGGCAGGAAGATGGGTTTGCTAGACTTGAAGCAATGATGCAGCAGTTATGGGTCT